TCCTGAGGGGAAAAGTATAGGGGAAAGGCAATATTTTAGGCAGGGGTCATTTCGTAGAAAAAGAGCTAGGGGAACTCATTAGCATAACTCATTAGCATATGCCACACCCCCTGATATCACCGGAAGTGTGTCATAAGGCCACACCCCCTGACATCACCGGAAATGTGTCATAAGGCCACACACCCCGGACCTGCAAGGCCGGCGGGAGTGCAAGGAAGCCCCGCGAAGGCCCTCCCTGGCCCCAGGCAGGCAGGGGTGGGGAGAGGCAGGGAGGAAGCAACTTACCCTCCCTCTTCTCTTGCCTCCTCCTGGCTGAATGAGGGCCAGAAGTGGGGCGGCCGGAAGCAGGGGGCGGGGCTTCGTCATGTGCCCCACCCCCGCCCCTCACCCAGGGGGACTATGTTCCCCCGCGTTCCCCCCCGAAATGACCTCTGATTTTAGGGTAACTGCCGAGCATCCTTTGCAGTGTTGGCAGGCATCAGGATGCATCTCTATGGTCCCGCAGAGCAGAAAAGCATCTTGGGATGGCCCAGTCTCTACGGCCAGCTAGAAGGTGGCCTGGTCTTGCATGTGGGAGAGAAAACTGTGCCGAAATTCGTGTTGCCAGAGGACGGGTTCCCTCCCTTGCTGTGCCTAGAGGGCGATCTGTGCCTTTTGTAGGACTTTTCCCCAGAAGGTGGGAAGGAGACACTGACACTTGGAATCCTTTTCACGCTTCACCTACTAATAAAACCACAAAGTTAAGTGCCAAAAACTGGAGGCTGAGTGGCTCACCCTGCCCCCCCCTTCCTTAAATGTGGGACAAAGGCTTGTCCTGGAGTGGCTAGGCTGTGCTTTGCTCTTTGGGGGTGCCCTGACTGGAGCAAAATCGGTTGCTAAACAATTTCATAACAGAGGGCATAAATCTATCGCTGGGAACATGCTGCGTGCTCTGTTGAAATAAGTCCAGGAGGCATGCCCAGTCCAGGACATGGGGGCAGAAGGCTGGAGGCCTGTTTGAGCCCTAATGGCAGTGGAAGGCCTGTGTCTTGAGATGGTGTTTGTCCTTTGAAAGGACACAGTGACAGTCAGGGTCTGTGATTTTGCATGTGGAACTCAGCAACCCGGGAAGCTCCAGGTCAAGAAAATAAAATTATGTTTGAAGCCCTAAGACTGCGGAAATGCTAGGTTTGAGAGTGCATGCACAGACAGCAGGAAAGCAAATGGCAAAGGCTTTGGGGGGTGTGTGTCACAGGATCAGGCTGTGTTTTGCTTTTAGCCTTTCCCGTGGTTAACAAAACCAAATGATGCAAACTGAAGCAAAGTCAGCTTTCTTGTTTCTCCCTAGAGTTCAGATAGATGGTAGGATTCGTTCTCCCTCTCTGCAGAGTTCATGTTGATGAGTGGCTATCATCTGTGTTCCTTTTGTTTATCTAGTGTTTGTTTTAATATTCTAGACTGAAAAACAAAACCAGCCCCCCCTCTTTATCCCTGTCTGCCAAGATGGCCCTAGGAGGGTACCCATACAGAAGGAGCCCAAGAAAAACTGGCTGGGAGGAATCACAGGGCTGTAAAGGCCAGCAGAAGGAAGGAATGAAGGAAGGAGAGAAGGGATGCTCTTCCCCAGCTTGGCAGCTGTAGGGTTTCCCCAAGGAAACAACCTGCTTTTCAGCAGGGGGCGTTTCTGGGTGTATTAGGAGAATACGTGCCCTGGGTCACTGTCCCCCGCCTGTTCTGTGTAGCCCAGTGGTGTTCCAAGTGCATGAGCGGGAGAAAGGAAGTGTGTGCCACGACACATGACTTCCTGTGTGCGTGTGCCCATACAGCAAACCTAGGCCGACCGTTGCCATGGTGAGGCAGCCTTCTCCCACTTGTCTTGCCGGTTTGCAGCCTCTTTGCACTGCTTTGCTGCTTTGGCACATTCCACAGCCCTGTTCAGGAGAGCCGGCCGACATCTGTGTGGTTGTATGTGAAACTCGCAAGCAGCAAGAAATTTCCCCAGCCTCGCGTGGTGGATTTTTCCGAGGAATCTGCCTGCTAACCAAATTCTGTATGGTTCCATTTTCATGCCTTTCATGTCATCAGATTATTTCAGTTCAAGGATATTTTTCCTTGTGAGGCTAACTGAACGGGTCCTCTCAGTTTAAACAGTATAAAGTTGTTTGTGTGCGTGTATGTGCCACAAATGGCAAAATCTGCTATTCATCCTCCTTGTGTGGCCTCCTTGAGTGTCTCAGTAGCCTTCATCCCATTAATCTTTACAACAACTCTGCAAGGTGGGCTACAGTGTTGTCCTAGTAATACTGTGTGGGAAGGGCAGGCTAAGGCGGGGGGGGGGGGGCTTGCCTAGCTTGCCTTCATGGACAGGCCACCTTTTAGTCCTGCTCGGTAGCCCCAGTGCAGAGGAGACTGTTGGAGCTTCAACAAGAGGCCTTTAGGTTGCTTTCAGCAAATGGAGGACACACATGCCTGCACAGAGACCACAACCCACACAAAGAACAGGACCTAAGTGAGGCCCCTCCCATATAGGCCTTGAGCTGGAAACAGGAACTAGTTCTTAAGGGCTCAGCCAGTGGTATATTTGTATTTGTTTACTTCATTAATACCTCCACTTTTTTCCTGTGGGGATTCACAGCAGTTTATATTGTTCTCTTCTCCCCCATTTTATCTCACAACATGCCTGTGAGGTGGGCTAGTAGGCTGAGAGGAGTGTGTGACTGGCCCAAGGTCACCCAACGAGCTTCCATGGCAGAGGGGGGATCTGAGCCTGAGTCTCCCAGGTCTTTCCTCTCCCACGATGATTCTTCTATGCTCCTCTTGACTTACCAATGCCAAGGAGGGGCAAGAAGCAGAAATCCCCACCCCAGCTTCCTCTTCCAGGTGCTTCCAGCTCACAGGGAAATGTGGGCGGGATAGCTGCTAGGCTTGCCAGCGACAGGTTGAGAAATTTCTGGAGGGTAGACTTCAGTGGGTTACATTGCCATAGAGTTCTCCTTCCAGAGCAGGACTTTTCTGTAAGGGAACTGTTCTCTGTCACCCGGAGATCAGTTCTAATCCCAGGAGCTCTCCGGCCAGCTACCTAGAGGCTTGTTGTTGTTCAGTCGCACAGTCGAGTCTGACTCTTCGCGACCCCATGGACCAGATCCCGCCAGGCCCTCCTGTCTTCCGCCGTCCTCTGAAGTTTGCTCAATTTCATCTTCCAGTGTCCTATCTTTTAGCCTTTTGATACTGTCCATGGGGTTTTCTTGGCAAACATACCGGAGTGGGTTGTCATTTCCTTCTCCAGGGGATCACACTTGGTCTGAGTTCTCTGCTGTGGCCTGTCCGTCTTGGGTGGCCCTCCACGGCATAGCCCACAGCTTCATTGAACCACGCAAGCCCCCTCGCCACGACAAGGCAGTGATCCATGACTTGGCCACAAAGAAGAAGAAGAGATTGGATTTATACCCCGCCCTTCACTACCCAAAGGTGTCTCAGAGTGGCTTACAAACTCCTTTCCCTTCCCTTCCCCACAACAGACACCCTGTGAGGTAGGTGGGGCTGAGAGCGCTCTTGACAGGAACAGCTCTTTTTCAAGAACAGCTCTTATCAGAACTACGGCTTTTACAACAGGACTCCATCTTGACCATGTATTAAGGAACAATGGGGAAAAGCCACAAATTCTGAGAACTAAGTGTGGTGCTCCTCCTGCCCAGTCTCACCCGCCCATCTCTCTGCTGTCTTGGCACAAGCCCTGTGTCCTACTTAGGCCTCAGAGTTGAAAGCAGAGGGGGTTGCTTCACCTTGTTCCTCTCTTCAGCAGGCAGCAGCTCTCACGGCCTTAAGCTGAGCCGGCTTCTCCTCCCATCACTGCGAGTCTCCCTTTTAAGCTCTGCTGCCTCCACCCCTTCCTGACTGGCACCCAATCCCATACTGCTGTCCACTGTTAAGTCCGGCGCTTAACAATAAGTCAGAGTGTGATTTCAGCGAAAACTCAAGTTTATTCACGATCATGAACACTTCTCCAACACGGTACAACATCTGATAGCCCGAACAGCTTGTCCATTCTAGCTGCTCGGTATTTAAACATTTCCCGGCTAATGTAGCCACACCTCTATACAGATACCAAACACTGCGGTTGTACAGATAGGGTCCAATCAATGTCGTTCCCGCTTACAGACATTTGAACGTGATTGGACACATTAGTCTTGGACTACAATCCTTGTCCAAGACGAAGCTTAACATTGCTTCCTTATGAGATGGTTTACACACACATCTTAGTGCATTCATAGGCAGTATCTGAATACACTACAAATCCCTCCCCCTAAGCAAATACAGTCATGAACAATCATAATCGCTTAGGTAGGTCGGTGCACGTCTCGTTCTCTGAGACCTATGAAGTGGCATAGGCTCAGGGCACATGTCAGTCAGGGGCACTCCATTGGACTCTGGGACCACAGAGTCAGAATCGCTTCCGTCTGTTACTGTGGGTTCAAGAGTAGGGGTCTGCCCTGCCTCTTGACCAGCACTGTGGCCCTCAGGCACTTCAGTGCTCACCTCCTGTGGAGGTCTGGGAAGGTCCTCGGGGTCTATGGACTCAGCTGGCTGCACGGTGGAACGGTCAGTTGCCCACCGCTGCCTCAGCTGGTCTATGTGGCGCCTCCAGGTACGACCGTCTGTCAGCAATACCACATACATTTGTGACCCTATTACCTTTGAAATAGTGGCTGGTAGCCACGAGTGACCACTGGCATAATTACAAGCGAAAACTAGATCTCCCTGTTCATACGTTCGAACCTTTGGCATTTCGCTCTGCTGTTGGGGCCATAAATCACTGAGATCTGGATGTAATCTATCCAGCAAGGTTGTTAACCGGCGGCCCATCAGCATTTCGGCCGGACTGCGTCCCGTCGCCGAACAAGGGGTAACCCACCCAGCGGTTCAAAAGCAACTTAATTGCAAGTAGATAAATGGGTACCCACCCTTAGTAGGGTGGGGGGCACCCTGCCTGTGTGGTGGTTTTTAGACAGATGGCGACGGCGATGGCGATGGCGATGGCGATGGCAGTGGCGACAGCGAGACATCAGCTCCGGCTTGGGCTGGGACCCGGTGGTGGCGGCGGCGGCGGGCGGGCGGACAGGGGCGCGAGGGGAGAGCGGAAGGGCCAGCCGGGGCTGCCTGAGAGGCGCAAGCAACTCCGACTCGGCCTCCTCTTCCTCCTTGGGACAAAGTTCTGGAAGAGCTCTGCGCTGAGGGGTGGGCGTCGGCGGGGCCCCCCGGCTCGGGCTGCCCTCTCTGCTGGAGGAAAGGGGGGGGAGGTTAGGCTCTGGAGCGGAACTTGCTCGACTTGCGGCCGTGAGTGGCCCAGGCTCTCTCTCTCCCCCTCCCCCTCGCCGGCTCCGGGGCGGCCCTGGTCATCAGCATTTGGATGGGAGGCCGCCAGGGTGGCTCGCCGGAGGCAGGCAAGGGCAGGCCAGACTTGGGCAGCCAAGCAGGTTCAGCCGTGGCCAGAGCTTGGACGGGAGTCTCCCATTCAGCGAGTCATAATGATACACAAATCTTATTGATTTGTGTATCAATAAGAACATAAGAGAAGCCAAGGTTGGATCAGGCCAGTGGCCCATCCAGTCCAACACTCTGTAACACAGTGGCCAAAAATACCAGGTGCCAGGTCCAGCAGTGAGGTCAGAGGCAGCCTGGGAAACCCTCCAGGGCCGCCATACCTTGCCTGCGACTTAAGGGCACTTCCCTCTGCACACACACACCCCCTCCGTGGCCCAGTCCGGTCTTGTTTATTTCAGGCTTCTTCATTGGAGAGATTTGGATCTTGTCTCTCTGCTTTTGAGGCAGCAGTCATAGAATAGAATCATAGAGTTGGAAGGGATCTCCTGGATCATCTAGTCCAACCCCCCTGCACAATGCAGGAAATTCACAAATAGCTCCCCCCCAAAACACCCCCAGTGACTGCGGTTTCACATCGAAGACAGCCAAGTTCGGACCAGGGCCAGTCATTTCGTCCCCTTTCGGCCTCTTGGGGCTTGAAGTTACAGCTGCTCTGGTTTTGATTTTGAGGCTTGGGCTCCATTAATGAGCAAAAGAATTAGAGCCTTTCTGTGCCTTTTAAAAATTCATTTTTGGAGTTGTACCGAAATATTACAGCAATGAGAACCTGGTACATGTTAATAATACCTAGTGAGGCCAAATTAAGTACGTGTTGAAATCTAAAAAGAAGAATGCAGAGGATTGTGAGAGGGTAATTTATTGATCTGCTAGTTAAAGCTTACAGTCCTGATTTTTTATTTGGGGGGAGGGGTCCATTTCACTAAGTGTGGCCTGCCTGTTCTTTCTGGTTCCTGCCCGCTTCACCCCCACACAATGCTGTGGAAAGAAGATGAACTTGCATCAGTGCAGCCCTTCACAGGGGCCAGGGAGGAGGTCCCTCTTGCTGGGGTCATCTTTTATGAGAACCTCGTGGCATGATGCCGGAGGCGTCAGCCTGCAAGAGGAAAAGCCGCCACTTCCTGTTTCTGCAGCTGTCGAAATGGGTTGACAGCACCCGCTAGACCTTTGGTGCAGCAGCAGCAGAGAGGGAGCTTAAGCTGCAGTTTGTACAGTGATCTGGATGCTGCTTGATTTCCGCCTTATTTGTTCCTACCCTCAGAAGTCAGAGTCCCCCACCCAGCTTCATATTGGAGGTTTTGTGGCAGAGCACTACTCACTTCTGTGCATCTGCATCTCAGGTCCTCCACAGTCCCCTCTGCGCTTTGCAATCTCACAAGGCCTTCTGGGCTGACAGCCAGACCCCAGTCGGCTTTGCACCACTGCTTTCTTTGGGAGCACACTGGCTGTCGGTCAGAAATGTGGGGAATCTGTGGCTGGCTTTGTGCACTACAAGGTCGGGGATCTGACTTGGAAATCTGCCTGCCTAGCGACCTAGCCGTCTCATTCTTACCTGGCTCAGGGTGAGATATACAGCTTATGCCCCTGCGCTGTGTCCTCAGTACAGCTCAAGCGGGTTCAAAACTGCTCAACAAGGGTTTGAATTCCGTATCTCCCCAGTCCGCTTTGCTATGCTGCCCCCTCCACACTGTACTTCTCTGCCTTCTATTTATTTTTGCTTCTCTTGCCAGCCACATTAGCTTCAAAGGAGGCATCATTCTGTACCAGCCATTTCTGGGTTAAGATTAAAGATAGAAAATTTCCAGATTCAGGTCTCCCCTCCATGCATCTTTACATCTCTAGTTAGGATGACATGAGAAGTGTTTTCCTATGGCTCTTTTAACTGTCCCGCAGTCTCTGGCAATGTTCCCTCTAAGCTGTGGAGTCTTGTGAGCAAAAATCCTACCTTGTGAGCTACTGGCATTAAAGTTGTAAGCAGGAGATTTGGCTGCTGCATAGATTAGCTTGCTCTGGAGCCATCCTTCCTGAGCTAAGACAAAAATGTGTGAGCCGGAGGCTAAAAAACTGTGAGCTAGCTCACACTAACTCAGCTTAGAGGGAACACTGGTCTCTGGTGAGATTCCAGCACAGCCCACCCACCCCCTTTGCAAAGGAGACGGGCTTTTCAAAGGCAGACGGATCTGTAGTGGGAAGTTTAATTTTTGTGGATTCTCTTTTGCAAGTGCCTCTGTTTTTATGTTTGCATCTTGGTGCCCCACATAAACAAGAACAAAAGCAGTTTTAAAGGAGACTGACGCTTCCCTGGTTGCCTGGCTTTTAGAGCATGACCTGGATCTGTCCCCCCCTTCCCATATACACTGCCCCCACACACATCTGGTCAAAGCTTCTAGGTCACTTTCAGAACAAAACATCCAGGAATGGCTGCCGTTGGGTGCCTGCAGGGTTGATTCCATTCACAGCCATAGTGGGTGACACATTTTAATTACAAAACAGCCAGAGCCTGCGGAAGGCCTTGGAAGAGGGGTGTTGGGCACGTCTGGGGTGGGGGTGAACACCTTGCAAAAGTCTGTGCTTTCTTACAACCCCTGGCAGCCCGGGACGCAAGTAAGGAGAAGTTGGGACACATACAGCCTAGTGACATCCCAGGGCTTTTACACAACAACCCTGTGGGCCTTTCATTTTCTGACTGACAGCATTTGCATGATGTTCTCCCCACAAAGGGGTTCAAGGCAGCTCACAGAGAGGGGTCAGAAAGACTATTTACTGAATTAGCTAGGTTCCAGTCCAGCAGCACCTTCAGGGTATAAGGTTTTGAGAATCGAATGAATAATTTTGGGCAGCTGTAGTAGAATCATGTTGTGACTCAGACAGCAAATCTTCGGCTTCTCTTTTTAGTGTGTGATGAATTGCCGTATGTGACTTTTGTTGCCAAAACGGTTATTAAGAGGAAGGAGTCAAATGAATTGGCCACCTCAGAACTTCTTCACTCTGCCCCTTGACTGCCTGGATGTTCCTGTGTATATCAAGTTGGGTTTATCGGCAATGTTCCCTCTAAGCTGTGGAGTCTTGTGAGCAAAAATTCTACTTTGTGAGCTACTGGCATTAAAGTTGTGAGTGAGCTGTTTGGCTACTGCATACATTAGTTTGCTCTGGAGCCCTCCTTCCTGAGCTAAGACCAAAATGTGTGAGCCGGAGGCTAAAAAAACGGTGAGCTAGCTCACACTAACTCAGCTTAGAGGGAACATTGTTTATCGGATATATTTATGTATTGTTACATCTGAGATTTCCAATAAAGTTTATAATTCTTTTTAAAAGAAAGTATGCCAAGTAGTACAATTTTATACGTTACCTAAGTTTAAAATAACACATCTTATGTTGTTAAATCAGTCAAAACAACTTGAGGGTTGAAAGGAAAGTAGGTATTGGATATATTTTCAATTCTTCTTGACACTTCCAAGTTTTTCCAGAAAAAATAATAAGCCCCCCCCCCCCCAATGCAAGCTGCCATGGCTTCAGACTTTCTGGGAATTGCCCACTTCTTCTGGTAGCTGAGTGTGCCTTTTGTCCTTTGCCTCATTCTGTCCGTGTCTCTCCCTGCTCTCACAGCTGTCGAAGCAGCAACAGGAAGAGCCTGGTGGTGGGGACGCCTTCGCCCACCCTCTCCCGCCCTCTGTCTCCCCTTTCGGTGCCAACAGGTAAGAGCCCGGCACTCTGACCAAAGAGGCTGGCCCTCGAGCAGCAGAGCAGAGGGGTGCCGGTTGGAGCAGTGGGGGGGGGGGGGGGGAGCAGCTCAAGTTTGGGAGGAAGGAGCCCCTGAGAAGAGAGGCTTTGGGGCCGAGCTGGTCAGAGTGAGATCCAGTTGGAAGACTCAGTCTTTGAACTGAGCTGTTCCCCATCCCTTGGTCTGAACAGGTCGGGGTGGGCGATACTTTTAAAATGAGAACCAGCGGACCCTTGAAACTCCAGTGGAACCTTTGCTTTTCTGGGGGGAAGAAATGTGAAAAACCTCTTTTCCCTCTCTCCCCTTCCACATTTCTCCGCAGCTGGGAGCAGTCCTGTAGAGAGCCCTCGCAACTTCCCCACCGGGGCTGCAGCCAGTTTCCCGTTTGCTCGCAGGTAAGAGCCTGTGAAGGAGCCAGCCAGGATTGTGCCTTGGCAAGCAGAAATGCCAGAGGGGAGGCTCTAGACTAGGAGGAGCAGAAGAAGACGGGCAGCAGCCGAATCCAGGAGCTTTGGTTTCTGCCTTGCCCGAGCTTCCTGCCAGCAGCGGTGGGGCGGGAGTCAGATCTGCTGTCCGAGGCCAGCCCAGAGGGGACGAGGGAAGAGCTTAAGGAAAGCCAGCAGCTCCGCCCCAGAACCTGTTTCCAAGGGGAAGGCTCAGCCTGGGAAGGCACAGAGTGATGTGCCTCTGGGCATCCACAGAGTGCGTTTTCCTCTCCGTAGGCAGGTCCTACATTGTCATTTTTTCTTGGTCTCTGTTTCTCCTCTGTTGCTCCTTTTCTTTCAATGAATTCCAAAAAGTTTGAGAAAACACAACAAAGAATGCATAGTTTTTCCCAGGAGGAACTCATTAGCATAATAGACCACACCCAACAGCAGAAACTCATTAGCATATTAGGCCACACCCATGACAGTACAGCTCATTAGCATATTAGGCCACACACCCCATGTTACCATAAGTGTGGTCATCCAGCCACACCCACCTTTTGCTTCTTATTCTGTTTACCTTGTTTGTTGTCAAAACGGCCAGGGCTTTTCTTGTAGTAGGAACCCCTTGCATGTTAGGCCACACACCCCTAATGTAGCCAATCCTAATGAGTTCCTGCTGTTGGGTGTGGCCTATTATGCTAATGAGCTCCTGCTGGGTGTGGCCAACTTGGGAGCCAGCCGGAACTCCGTTCCTGTGCGTTCCTGCCTAAAAATAGCCCTGGTTTTTCCAGAGTTAAGCAAATGGGTGCACAGTTTGGATTCTGAGGAGAGTACAAAAGCATGTGTGGGGAGGACTGGGGCCTTTCTGTTCTTCATTCTCACCTCTTTCTCCTCCCTCTCTCTGCTTCCTCTTTTTATGGTTGACCAACACGCTTCTGGCGTAGCCATGTTCCTCGAACTGACAGGTAACTCCACCAAGATGTGGGGGTTGTGGGAATTTAAAATCTCTGGATCTGGCATCCTCAGTCTCAGATTGGGTGCGCATAAGACAGAACCACTAGTGGAGCCATTCCACTGACAACGTCTCCTCAGAAAGAGGCGGGACTTTTGTGGGTCCGGCTGCATGTTCTAGGTTAACCAAAAACCTTGGGAACCAGATAAAGACTAGACTCAAAAATGAACTAGGGAGAAGTATCAAATTCTGACTCAGTTTCTCCCAATAGCAATCTGCTTGTTGAAGCAAAAAAGAAAATGCAGTGTGTTATTTTTCTTGGTCAGGGAATGTGGGGGGTTTGTTGGTTCTCAAAGGGTGGAAGGGATGGCATACTGGCTGGCAGCACCTCACAGGATCACAGAGTTGGAAGGGGCCACACAGGCCATCTGGTCCAACCCACTGCTGCATGCAGGATCAGCCCAAAGCATCCCTGACAAGCAGCTCTGCAGGGTCTCAGGCAGAAAAGGGCCTTTCTGTGCAATCCCGGGGCTGGAGCCTGGGTCCTCTCGCCGGCAGAGCTGGTCTTCTGCCACAGAACTGGCATGCTGTCACAGCGGCTGGCCAGGCGTGTCTGATGGCAAAGTGTCTTGTGGGGGCTGCGGGGGCGACGGCGGTTGCAGATGGGTTTGCATCGGGCGGAGCAGGCCTTGAGGGGGTGACCGCTGCTTGGGTCTTTGCAGGGCTGACGGCAGAAGGTGGTCGCTGGCTTCTCTGCCCTCCTCTGGCTATGGGACCAACACCCCCAGCTCCACTGTCTCGGTAAGTAGAGTGGTCTTTGGCCCCGGGGTGTAGCAGGGGGCATCAGTCTGTTGCACTCTTCTTCCGCTCGTCGTCTTCTCTGCTTAAACCATCAACATCCTGCTCCAGCTTCCATTCCAAGTTGAGTGTTAAGGGGAACTGGATCATGCAGCTGAGAAGGTGTAGGTCAGCCCTTGGCCAGGTGGAAGCTTGAGCTATGGGGGCAGGGACCAGGAGGTGGTCGGGGGCTCCTTTGGGCCCAGGGCTTGGAGCCACGGGAACATTGACAGAGGTTGGGGAGGGGGTGGCTGGTTGGAGGCCCCATGCCTGCGAGCATTTCAGAAAGCAGCTGAACCACCTGAGTGACGGAGGGGGCCTCCTGGGTGTCCGTGGGTGCCTGGACCCAGTTGTGCCAAAATGCAGAGGGGGGTGACCAGGAAGCCCCTGCCTGGCTCGCTGGAGGCAAAGTGTCCTGGATCAGATGGTCAGGGCTCCCAGATCTCCTCCGTGCGTCTGCCGGCCTCATAGCCGTTGAGCCAGAGAAGTCAGGGTTTTATTTTTAGCTCCCGTCACCCTCAGTCTTTCCAGACTGCTGCTTGTGTTGAGGTGGCCATTCCCTCAGCAGAGTTTCAGACTTTCCGGCACTGGGGGCTGGGGGGGGGGCGAGCTGGCCTTCCTTCCTCACAACTGGCTCCCGTCTCCCGTCTAGTCCTCCTCCTCCTCTTCCCAAGAACGGCTTCATCAGCTGCCCTATCAACCCACCCCTGACGAGCTGCACTTCCTGTCCAAGCACTTCCGGAGCACGGAGAGTGTCACTGGGGAGGATGGACGCCTCTCGCCATACCTGCGCCCTCGATCCCGGAGCTTGAGGTACTGACTTCGGGTGGGATTTGGGTGATTTGAAGCAGGGGAGCAGTGGCGTGTAGGGGAACTTGGTAGCAATGATGACGTAACTTCAGATAGTTGTATAATATTTATTGGGATAGCACCGTTCATTTAGATGACTGATTCGATTAAAAACATTTTGAATGACAAGAAAAATCCCAATTAATTAGTAGGGATTTAAACCATGGTTAAGTTATTTTTAATGCAAATATTTTAAAAAAAGAATGACAGATGGCAAACAACATCTCAGAAGCGGGTCCTTCCTTCTTGAGAGAGGAAAAAGGGGGAGTGCCTTATCTATGAAGGCAGCTGTGAGAGGAGGGGGAGTGCCCCTAGGGAAGAGGAGGGGGAGGAGGACCGGCTTTTCTATAGTGACCTGAGAAAGGACTAGGAATGCCTCTTCTCTGGTGGCTGCTGAGAAAGAAAAAAAATGGGAATACCTCTTCTAAGATGGTTGTGAGAGAAAGGGGAAATGGCTCTAGAGAGAAAGAGGAATGCCTCTTCTAAGATAACTTTTGAGAGAGCAGGGAATACCTCTTCTAAGATGGCTGTGAGAGAAAGGAAAAATGGCTCTAGAGAGAAAGAGGAATGCCTCTTCTAAGATAACTTTTGAGAGAGCAGGGAATACCTCTTCTAAGGTGACATTCGCTGCGGCAAATATATGTGGTTCCTGTATTAACAGATGTATTCATTTGCCTATGAGTTCCTCACGTTTGACAGGATGGGGGAAAGAAGGCAAGCCACGACGCTTCTTCCCGCCTGCTCCCCACAACCACCACCCTACCCCTTGCCTACCTCAACAGGGCTAAGACTGACCCCTGTTCTGAAAGCCTAGCGCCCAGCCTGTGTGTCTCAGCGGGAGATGCGGAGCCAGCGTCAAGCGCTGGCTCTGACTCATGGCCATCTTTTCCATTCCCTTTTCCAGATGGGGGTTGTGTGTGTGTGTGGGTATTCCCTTTTCCAGATGGGGGTTGTGTGTGTATGTGTGTGTGACACATTCCTGATCTTGTTTGCTGAGATCCGTGAGCGGCACTTGCCCAGGCCCCTCAGCCCTGCTGGCTGCCTTTGCTTCCCTGTGACTTGGTTTTGTACAATTACAGGATTAAGATTCCTGTGGCACTGGGGGGAGGAGGCCGGTGAGAAAGTCGGGTCAGCCCAGGGCACACGACGGTTTAAGGAGATAAAGCCATCCGCCCTCTCATGATCCCTGGTGAAGAGCCTGCTTCTGAGCTTCTGCTGCTGGGGACCGGCAGCTGGGCTCGTGTGGGCTGGCCCCGGTGGGCCGAGACTCGGAGGGGGGGGGATGCCGGGCGCAGCTCGAGGGAGGAAAGCGAGGCAAAGGGCCATGGGAAGAAGAGGGGAAGGTCAGCTGCTCACCTCCTTGGGGCAGGACAACCAACTGTGAGTTTTAACCAAAGGAAGAGGCGGGTGGAGGTGGGAATGTAGAAGTTGGCCCATCAAGTTGCAACATGGGAGTCTGGCTTGGTAGGCAGAATCGGTGAGCGGTGGCATGGCCGTGTCTGCCCTGTGGGGGACTGAGGGTCAGCCCACTTGTGGTGACCGGCCCTTTCTAAAATAAATACTAGGCCATCTGCAAATGCTTGTAGTTTATACTCTTCTCCTTTTATTTTAAGTCAGTCTGCATATCTTTTCTCACTGTGTCATTCAGTGTTTCAAGAGCAAAGATAAACAGTAACTGGGAAAGTGGACACCCTTGCCTGGTTCCTTTTTGTATCTCAATATCCTGTGATAGATCTCCATTCACCAAAATGCTGTTTAGTGTAGATGGCTCTGACCATTGTGTGAAAGTTTTCTCCACAGTGCCAAGTTGTTAATTGTTCTAGCATAAAGTTCCAGCTAAGATTGTCAAAGGCTTTTTCAGCATCCTGTTTCTCAGGATGTGCTTCAAAATATTCAATTACATTCAAAACAGTCCTCACATTGTTTCTTATTTGTCTTTTGGGTAAAAAACCTTGTGGTTGGTGTCTCAGTGGCATGGTCCCTTGATGGGCTGTTTCTCTCTTCCTTCTCGCAGCCCCAGGCGGTCAAGTGGGATTTTTGACAATGAGGTCGTAATGATGAATCATGTTTACAAGGAGCGGTTCCCGAAGGTAAGAACTGATGGGGGGAGGGGGCCTCAGAAGCCAAGGAATGGCAGACCAGGGTCCCCTTTCTTCTGTGAGCCTGCCTGGTGGTGAAGGTCTTCCACAGGTGCTCTCCTCCGTGCATCCCCATTTGCAGAAGCAAGGTGGATGGTCGAGAGGGGGGGGCCTTCTTGTTGGTGGCACCCCAGTTATTTTATAGAATGCTCTCTCCAGGCCTGCAGAGCTGTAGTTCTGGCCCCGCTGGTGGACCTCCTGATGGCCCCTGGGTTTTGGCCACTGTGTGGCACAGAGTGTTGGACTGGATGGGCCACTGGCCTGATCCAACATGGCTTCTCTTATGTTCTTATGTTCTCACCTGATGCCTACTTTGTGCCAGGTAAAAACTATTCTGCTTTCTCAGATGGGCTCTCCTCTTCCTCCTCCCAAATTTTATGACCTTGCTATAAGGGATTTTAAGCAACCGATGTTGCTATTTTTGTATATAACTTTTTATCATTTCTACAGTTTACCATCTTTTACAGTTTTTGGATTCTTTTTCGCTTCCTGTCCTGAAAGCTGCTTGGGAAGCCATGGCTCAGGTTGGGGGGAGGCAGGGGGGGCAGAAAGTTCTTAAAGAAAATAATTCTGCCCTGCAAAGGTGGATCATTGTGGGGAACCCCGCTAACTGCACTCGAGATGGTTTGGTTGAGATGGTTTTAACTGCTTACTCAGATTACCTATTTCATGGTTATTTGTATGTGCTGTTACCCACTTTGGCAGGTGTAAAAATACTTTTTAATAAATACATAAATGTATCGGTTTTATAGCTCTGTAGCTGCCGGGGAAACCCTGTGAATTGTGGCTTTGTGCAGGTGCTGAGAATTTTCTGTTAGTGAGTGTTAGCTGACTCTACCCCAGAGCCACAGTTCCCGAGGAATGATTCTTAAACCAGTTTAAATCGGTCATGTGGATTTGTCCGCTTCCACTGTCTTCAGAGCTGGGCAGATGTTTCCGTGTGTGTGTGCGTTTGTGTATCCGTGTGTGTGTGTGTGAACGAGGCACAACTCGTGGACTGCTTGGCCCTGTCTCAGTGGCAGTGCAGATCCTGCGGCAGCAGGGAGGGGCGAAAGCATCTCAGGAGCAATGGTCCCTCTAAGCTGTGGAGTCTGGTGAGCAAAAAATCTACTTTGTGAGCTACTGGGCTTAAAGTTGTGAGCGAGCGATCTGGCCGCTGCATAAATTAGTTTGCACTGGAGCCATTCTTCCTGAGCGGAGACAAAAATATGTGAGCTGGAGGCTAAAAAACTGTGAGCTAGCTCACACTAACTCAGCTTAGAGGGAACACTGCTCAGGAGCCACAGTTCTCCTCTCTTGCACCTCGTCAGCAATGAGGGGTAAGAGGAGAATGGGGCCACGCAGGCATCTGCGCGTGCTCAGAGGCCTCTTCGCGCGTGTGCGTGCCTCGCACATACCAAACAGATCTCGGGTCTCAGGCGAATTCCCCCAGCCGCCCTGTGGTGTCCCCCTGCAGGCCACAGCCCAGATGGAAGAGCGCCTGGCAGAGACGATTGCCACCTTCTCCCCCAGCGTCACCCTGCCCTTGGCCGACGGCGTCCTGGGCTTCATCCACCACCAGATCATCGAGCTGGCCCGCGACTGCCTGGCCAAGTCCCACCGGGCGCTCATCACCTCCCGCTACTTCATGGAGCTGCAGGAGAAGCTGGAGAAGATGCTGAGAGACGTGAGTGCAGGAGCGGTCCGAGAGCGAGGAGGTGCGCTTCATCGAGCAGCTGGCCAGGAAGCTGCTAATCATCATCTCCCGGCCGGCTCGCCTGCTGGAGTGTTTGGTGAGACGGTTGCTGCCGGTAGGGGGTGCGTGTGGGTCCCTCTGCGTTTCGGGGGGCTGCCTGCCTGCCTTCCTGGCTCGGCAGTGCAGCTGGAAGCGTGGGAAGAACGTGAAGCCCCGGCAAGGTCGCTGGCTGTTGACCAGGCGTGCTTCCAGCTGCACCACTGAGGCAGGGGGATCTGTCAGGGCCCGGGCTGTGCCTCTGCGTCGTCGGGGCCGGGAGGAGTGCCGCAGCTGCAGCACCAAGCCCTGCTTAGGCCGAAGAGCGGCAT